TTCACTTTAATGACGCTTGTAAAGATCAGGAACACTGCCTCTGACAACAAAGACAAAACCTGGAGCAATTTAGCAGGTGAAATAGACTCAACCACTCCACCACAGTATTCCTAACTGCCCCATGATCCTGTTCCAATGACAGAGGTTGACAGGTATGGAGCAGACCCTACACCTCCCAAATTCCCACACCCCCACTCCACAAATACGCACAGACGTGCAAGTCTACATCCACAAACATGTATTCACACCTCCACTACATAGCTGCACACATGCTCACATCCTTAACTGGACACCATCACAGTGGCAGGGGCACCCACTCACCCTCATGGAGAAGGCAGGAGACCCTCTCCCCCCTGTTTCCCTCTGGAGACCTGGATGGGGGTGCTAGGGCTAAGGTGATGATAGAGGAGACAGCAGGTGAGTGAGATCCTTCAGAAAGAGCCAAGGGCTGGGCCCAGCTTCACATACCTGGGGAGCTGCCTGCCATGATGACTGCATTCCAACCCACACAGGCTCCTCCTGCTATGTGCAGTCCTGGGCTTCTGCAGAGCAAGCAGGTGCTCCAGGTCGGCCATGCTGTGTGCAGGACCCTGGTCAGGGATGAGGCTTCTCTAATCAGGAGGCACCACGTGCCCTTCAGCAAAAGAAGCCGCAGCCTAGCTATCTCCACCAGTGACAGCTAGCTCATGGAGGCGGAGTAAGGAGCACAGAAGGCTCAGATAGCCTGACTTAGCCCTTTGCCCACAGCGGTTGTGACATGGAAGGTGTCCACAAATGGTAATGCACTAAAGCTACCCACTGAAACATGGCATGGTCATAGATCCGAAGGCACTGTCTACTCTCTGGGCCTTCTGGAAAGGTCACACTACGGCTCCACTGTCATGATGCTGCCAGCCCCCACAGGCCATCCAGTCCCCTACTGCTGAATTTTCCTCTGGAGCCCTTATTATACCTGAGGCTAGTCATACAGAAGGCAGCACAGGCAGAGGGCATGTCCTGCCTTGGTCACTTCCTGGCTCTCAGACCTGATGAGACCTCAACATAGTCATGACCCAGGCACACGATGGGACACTGAGAGCTCTGTATAAGGGCACTGACACCCATGCCGGCATGCAGCAGGTGCTCGGCAGCTGCTCAGGGACAACCCCAATTGTCCACCACCAGAGCACAGGGCCATCTGCTTCCAAACACCACAACACCTCTGCCTGGGCCGCAGCCAGGGAGCAAGTGGACCACACAGCACCCACTGTACCTCATGGACAAACTGTCCCCTCATAATGCCAGGATAACTTATCCTTACCAAGCATCTGTCTTCCTTGTTCCCACCATGCTTATGAAAGTTGTCCTCATGATGTTAAAAAATACTTTAATTAAATATTATGTAACTGATGAGGCTAAGCACAAAGAAAAAAGAAAATGCTGTCCTTAGAAGACAAAGAAGTCTCCTCAGACAGACTCAACAGAGGCAGACAGCTTCAAAATGGTCAAATCAGGTGTGCACAAGAACATAAAATAATGAAGGGGAGGAATTACCTAGAATCCAGAAAGATGCGCCACTCAGAATTCCCTGGCAGACTCTGAGTTCCCACTCCACTCGAAGAAAAGGAATAGGCAATGGTAAGTGGTGACCACGGCTTGATGTTCACACAATACAACCTGGACTCAAGGTCCTGAGTCCTGCATCCAAAGATAGTGTAAGCATCACATGTGGGCATTTTCATACAATGAAGTACCCAACACATATAATGTGTGACCCTCCCCAGTCTGTTTTGCCTTTCCATGATTAGACCCTACTCCCACTCCTAGGGGTATAGAAGAGATTTCCAAGTGGGCCTGATCTAAACATATCCTGTGTACCTCACGATACTCCACACACAGTGGGTGCAGTTCAGTGGTGAGTGCCAGCCTAGCTTCTGCAAGGCCTGGGTTCCATCCTACCACCACAAAGGGAAGAAACAAAGTTGTGTCTAAAGACTACCTTTACTAAAAGTAGTGCCCACGCTTTCTTTAGTCCCTTAATGTGTATAAATGTCCATCCTTGAAATCTTTCAGAGGTCTGGGTTGAGGCCTGCCTGTACCCACAGTGCCCCTAGGGCAGAGGGCCTGACCCAGCAGAGACACTCAGTAAGTTCTGCACATGCCCAAAGCAAAGCAAGGAGTGTTCAAAATAAAAAACATTCAGAAAAGAATTGTGTTTTTCTTATAACTGGGTCCTTATTAAATCTCCCACACTGAAAAGCAACCTCAACATGGAAACACAAAAATCTTCAGCAGGCTCTTTTCTTGTCTGCTGCAGCACTGGGGAGGGAACCCAGAGCCTCCTGCTCACTAGGCAAGTGTGACCCACTGAGCTGCACCCCCATCCCTCACAAAAGCCTTCTTAGCAAGGCAGATCATCCTGAAAGAGTTCTCTCAATACAGCTCTGGAGTGTTAAAGGGGGTCTTTTCCAAAATTATGAAAAGATTTAACAAGCAAGTTAGGCTGAGAAATTTAGCACACATTAGCAATTGCCATACTGGGCAAGACCATGAAAACAAGACTCTCAAAGGGCACTCTAGGAATCCAGGTATAAAGTATTCACCAAAGGCCAAGGCAAGACCGGCAACCCCAGTGCCAGGCAAAGGAGATGTGAATTTGGTCCAAAATGTCCAAGAATAGCATCACTAACTGATTCCCAAACAGTATTAAACGACTCCCATAAAAGCAGAGCTGAGCAGCTGTGTTGACCAGGTTGGGGGACTCTAGGTGCCGGTGAAACTAATGCAAATGAAACCAGACAGAAGTGAAAAATTTTACATATGATGTGTCCCACTGTGTAACCAAGATCACAAAGCAGACATTCTAAGAGTTACCTCTCTACAGATCTACAAAGTTTACATATCCCAACTGGCCCACGTCACACGTCTGAGGAACTTCCCACAGGGAAAACAGGAGCCTGCCTGCTCAAGGCCCCTCTCACTATGGCATATTTGGGATCTGCTGAGTGGTGGGACAAGTGCCATCGATTAAATGAGCAGCGGTACCAGAGTCGGCTTGCAGGGAGTTGGCACAATAGTGTGCAGCAAAATGCCAGACACCTGTCCTGAGGCAATCTCTACCTGAAGTCTCTGCTGGAGAAGAATAGGTGGCTTTAATGGGACTCTACTCAGTCCCCTTCCACTTCACATCCTGCACAGGATGCCCCAGACCTAACTCTGCTGTTCCAGCAGGAGTACAGTGCCCGGGTCTGTTAGGTGACCAAGGAATCCAGGGATGAAAAGGCTAACAGTATTATAATCTCTTCCACCATGGATTTCTCCTTTCTGGAAATGATCAAAGATAGTACTCAATTTGATTCAGACTTTCCCCAGAACCAGAACCTAATCCCTAGGAGGTGGCCTATGGTGACAGAGGGCTACACTCAGCTAACAGAGCAAAAAGAGAGAATACGTGTTCTCAGGGTGCCCCAAAGTATGGCAAGCTGTGAACACAATTTCTGTGCATTTAGAAAGTCACCCATAGTTTCAAAATCTACACAGCTACACCTCAGTTCCCTATCACTAAGCTTTGTTACTAAATCTTACAAGTGTCCACCCTTATGACAAGTTCTGAAGAATACCACGATGCCAGAATTCCAGACATGCCCCAAGTCTGGGCCTCTGCCATGGTAGAGATCACCTCTCAACCTCCTAGTCCTGCACAGTCCCTTCCAAGATCAACAGAGGAGACTTCTGTAAACACACAGCCACCGAGAAACCTAGAGATTTGCCAGACACTGGGTGTGGTGGCATATACCTGTAAATCCCTGCACTCAGGAGGCTGAGGCAGAAGAGTCACCATGAGTTCAAGGCCAGCCTGAACTACATAGTGAGATCTGTCACACACACACACACAAAAAAAGCTAGCTCCAAAAATTACATAATTACTGAAGCAGGTGGCGACCTGTTCATTTTGCAAATAAAATTCTTTACATTAAAAACAGCAAGAACAGGAAAGAAAAGTTTTGCAGATCTCTAACTGGAGCATGGTTTTCAATCACAATGAAAACCAATGGGGGAGGGACTCCCCTCCAGCAGTGAGCACAAGTCTCCTTGGTCTGGAGAAAACCCAATTCAGAAAGTGTGGCCTTGGACCCAAGCCTACACCCAAGGTGCCAGCTCCCCACCTTGGCAACAGTCTGGTGCTGCATGGTTCAGATGCTCCCAGACCTTCAGGACCTCGCATGTTACACTACACACCAACTCCCTGCATGGTCGGGGCAGCCGAATATGGTTGTGCTTTTAAAGCAAATGATAGTTTCAGAAAATCAACGACATATTCTCCATCAGAAAAAAGAGGGGGCACTTTGTGTTTCACTCCAAGCAGCATTCCATGGGTGACCTCAGATGACAGGGGTGTGTGGTAACCAGAACAAGAAGACTTGAAATCAGACCACTGATCCTCCTAAGATCTGTCCACTAAAACACAGGCAGCTAAGGCTAGCCAATACAAATGCACGATTAATAATCATGATCTGAAACAGCTTCGTGGGACTACAACCCTGCCTGAGGGTGCAGAGGGGACAGTGACTCCACGATGACCTACCACACCCAGAAGGGCTGGGGCCTCTAGGTTAACTGTCCCTTCTAAGCACTGGGAGTGGCCTGCCCCCCACAGGACCCCTCTCCTCCAATCTCCAGACACACAGGCAGGAGCCAACGCACTCCCCTGCAGCCATCGGAACCAGGAAGACAGAACAAAGCTCCAACTTTCCTCCAGGCCCGCTGAGGGGCGCAGGTGGAGAGTCTGGGGGTCCGGGGAAGAGGTTGTCACTGGGGAGATGAAGGAGGACACAAAGAGGCAAAGAAACAGGCCCAGGAAAGGAGGGGAAGGACGGTTCACCATGGACCAGATGTCCAGGTGCCTGGCCAGGGCAGCCAGAGTGGCACAGGAGCCGTGCCTGGACCTGGGGGTCCCAGGAGGAAAGCAAAGTTGGAGAAGAGGTGTAGAGCCCGAGCGCCCCTCCCGTGTCAGTACCCACCTTTGCCGCCTGTGCTCTCCTGCCCGCGGCAGATTCGCAAGGGGCGCCTGGGGGCGCTGCTGGGCCGGGGGGCGCAGGTGGGCCAGGACC